CAGAACCTGATCTGGGATTAGTTAGCATATATTGTCTGGAATTGTGAAACACTAATACCATGAAGCAACTCACAAAATATAAAAATAAATTTTCTTTTAGTTGAATTTGTTTGAATTCACATGATGGCTATTTATAAGCCCATCATACAATAGAGATTAAAATATTTGATAACCACTTGCTAATATCTAAACCATTCTTAATAATATACAATTGGTTATAACTAATACTGTTGTCTGCTACTACAAGAGATGATATAAAAGCGATAGGAAGAGGTAGCCCACATCATCAATCGCAAGAAGGAAATATCAGAAAATGACCAAAAAGCAAGAGAGAATATACCCATTGACTTGAGGAAGAGGAAGCATACAAGGTTTTTTTAGGGAAGAAGCTAGAGAATAATCAACTGCTATCTTCGTTTTTCATGAGAATGTGTTGTTTCTATTCATTCACTTTTTTGTTTTTCCCGTCCCCTGTGAACTAATTCCATTTTGGGGGAGGTGTAAGTTTTTAGTGTGAACTTCAGATTCTGTAACTTCGACATTTTTCTTGCTGTCAAGTAAAGTTTATTTATCTTTCGCATTATTCTGAAATGTTGGGCACCATTTTGAGATTACTTGCTCTGGTATGTTTGAAAGAATATATGAGATAGAGTATTTGATGCTACTTGATGTTAGTTTATATTTTTTAGTAGATTGCGAATACTTAGGGATAAGGTTCAGCTAACAGTGCAACAGAAGTTGCGATATCATAATAAACCCATATGTTTTAGTAATGGCAGGAAGTCGATGTTAGGAGCATCTAGAGGATCAGAAACAAAAGAACAACAATCTCCCCCATTTCCCCTTTTATTACTACTCTCCCTTTAATTTGTTGATCGTTTACTTCTAAATTTAAATCAAAACTGTTGTTGTGGTTTGGTACTTTGTATTCTTGAGTATATTTTAAAGTGTTTGTTAACAATCTATGTAGATATGACCTTATTTTTCTCGCTACAATCAATTTTAAATGCACTTGGACTTTGTTTTCACAAAGTTGCGTGGAGATAATTGTATGTTAGGAAGCAAATGAACATCAAAGAAAATAATTTATCTCTTTCATTAATAGTATTATTACTAACTATTATTTGTCTCATATTATTCTGCTCCTGATTCACCTACATTATTTGCGTGCAAGTAAGTTTCAACCAGGATATGTAAAATAACCAATCATTGTTGTAGGCCAATAAATTGTTTAGACCTCGTGAGGGCTTCGACCTACTTTTCTTATTGGTCTAAATTTTTATTCTAACGAATAAGGAATTAGTTTTGTACACCAAATGCATATTATGTAAAATTATAATTATGAATATAGTAGCATACCTTCCACTCCAGAGTCTCCCATCTATGGCATAAAAGTTAGCCAGTAAGCTTTAGAAGAAATTTTAGGAGCTAGATTTGCACGAGCATCCTTAGGAGTGGAGCATCTTAAATGTAATCTACATCTGTCACCCAACGAAAGTATGTGCAACACTGTTGGACAAATTAATATCAAAGTAAGATTGCATAGGTAAAAGTGTAACCACCTATGTAAATATAATATTACTTCAATAACTACATGATAAAACTTTTTAACTCGAGCCTTCACTGTCTCTAGTACTGCTTCCAAGTCGCGCAACTTACTAGAAAAAGTTTCTTGCACGATTGAACCAATGACATTTGAAAATCTTGTACCATGCACTGAAATTGGATTCTTCAACGTCTCTAGGTATTGTTAGGATCAACCTTACCTCTATAAATTTCGGCCTAAATTTTCTCGACAAAATGTGTTTTCAAAAGCAGAAATTCCAAGCATAAACTCTTTGGGTAGTCCCTAAGAAATAACTTGGTGGTTTCGGACTTAAAGGAATACTCTTGAGATCTTGAATTCAAGTCATAAGGTACGCTGAAAATTTTTGGCCGAAGGCCGCTCCTGGGTTTTTTTAAAAACATATGCCAAGGTATGAAATATTTCAACTAAGGATCTCTACTCTTGAAATTTGAAATCTTTGATGTATGGAAATTAGACTTCGCGAGTTATTATCTTCTTGGGAAAAGGTATACATTTTTCTATCTATTGTCTACGTATCAAAATAGATGGAAGCCACAGCCTACTCCAACTCATAAAGTTCTAATTAATAATAAAAGATTAGTTAAAAAACATATTTGGTCCTTATACTTTTTGCTAAAGTAACGATTTAGTCCTTAGAGTTTAATTTGTAACAATTTAATCCTTGTATTTTTAAATTGGTAACAATTTAGTCCATTAATTTTAATATGTAACAATTTAATCCCTATAGTTTAAAATTTGTAACAATGTAGTACCTATCGTAAAATTTTTTGTTAAAATGAAGTATCGGTTTTTGTCTTATAACGATTTAGTCTATATAATTTATAAACACATTTGGTCTTTTATCGGTTTATCGATCTAAATGTATAAAAAATTTAACAAATTTTTTCACGATAGAGACTAAATTGTTACAAATTTAAAATTACTGGGACTAAATTGTTAGATACTATAGTTTAAGGACCAAATTGTTACAAATTTGAAAGTACGAGGACAAAATCGTTACAAACAAGAATTTAGAGACTAAATCGTTACTTCACTTAAAGTAGAGGGACCAAAAATATCTTTTTAACCTAAAAAGTTACATATTAATAGTAGAGAATTAATTGAATGAGTATAATAATGTAAATTAGAAAGTGGCCGATGCCCCACCCCACAATCGTTTAACTAAAAAAAACTTTAAATTAGTTCAACTTTAAATTAAATCATTTGTAGCAGATGGCAAATCGGACCATAAATAAAAAAAAAAAAAGAACTTTAGAAACAGAAAATCAGTAGCAAAATACGATCTGCCTTTTTTTTTTTAAGTACGAATACGGTCTTTATATAACTGTACTTAAAACAAATACTGTGAGAATACCACTCAGAAGCCATCATCTGTAGAATCGCTTGAAATGCTACACATGAAATCATCCGCCAAACGTGGAAACTTCAAGCTCGCAGAGCTCTTCAATGGCGGACATGGATCTAAATTCATTTCGTTACTCTTCCCCCTTAAATTCCGACCAATCTCTGTACACACCTGATTCACCATGCCTACGAAATCATTTACTATCACAAATAACCCTAGTGGATTTTCTCTATCCCCTGTTTCATAGTATTCATTCGTCTTCTTCACAATCTCCAGCACCCTTGTTTGTTCTTTCCTCGCCGTCTCTATTTCTTCTTCAGCGGATTTGACAAAATGCATCATGTTGCTCTTATATTCACCTCCTTCGTTCGACAGAAGCTTTCGTATTTCTGAAATGTGGATCGAGAGAGTAGGGCAACTGGCAATGAAGGTTTTGTAGTCGATTGTGGATGCTTTCTTGACATTGGAGAGCTCCCAGGTGAGGGATTCTAGCGCCGATAATCCAAGTAAGGTGTATTCATTCTCCCTTTCCTTTCCCGATATGTGATTCTTTGAATTTGAGTTTGAGAATTGCTTCTTCCCTTCGGATCTGATGACTTCTTCCACGACGAAGTGAAGCAATGTGGTTTTTCCGTCTGTGATCTTCACATCTGAGAGTTTTAATAGTGAATTGAGATTGAAAGCCTGTGCGTCTCCTCTTGTGGTTCCTGAATTCAATCGATTCCCAGATTTGAGAGTTGCTTCTAACAGTTTGGTAAAAAGCCCCTTTCTCTTTAGCTCTTCGCAACCCACGCTAAGTGTTTGTAAAAAGTCCCTGATACGCATGAGCTCTGACTTGAAGTTTGATCTGAAAAGCATGGCGTTTAGACGAGTGAAGGCTGTTGGAACAGCCTTGAGAAGATGGAAAATGAAAGATTCTGCATCGCCAAGCCTTAATGGGTCGCCATCGAATTCGAGGATTTGGGATTGTTGTTCTTGGTTCGGAGTGATCCTGACAAGCTTCTCGAGTGTGTCTGGATCGAGCCCCCGTCCCTCCATGAGAGCATCAAGGAGTTCTTGTCGAGAAATGGTTAGGGATTTAAGAATTATTGCAATGTTTCTCGACCTTCTGGAATCGAGAATGGAGATTTGTGCTCGTCCGCCTTTGTTGTGGCTTGTTGATTCTTTTTGCTTACGCTTGGTACAGCGCTTTGGTGGTGATTTCTTGTTTGTGGCCACGTACCCGAACAGAGCTTCCATAAGGTCGCCATTAAACCTGAAGAACAGAGATGATATCAAAGTGGAAGAATCAGAAGAACCTACACCAAAATGGGACCTTTTCCAAATTCAACTATGACGATGGGTTTTACCTGAAAGAACCGCCATCAATCTTGTCCCACACCATTGCGTGATCTACATTGGTATTAACCTTATCCCAATGCAATGGCTTCAATCTAGCCTGATCATTACCTACTAAAGATTGTCCTGGATTTCCCCCTGCCATTGCAGGTGGAGGTGGTGGAGGTCTCCTTTTTCTAGCTTGCAGGGGTGCTGGTGGGGGAGGCAGCCATGGCAATGCTTGTGAGCTTGAGAGAGAGTGATCACGAACTTCCATTTTTGTTGAAGATCTTCCATGGAGTAAAGGAGTTTCTTGTACCCTCTCAGGCATCCTTGGGCCCTGTATTTCTTCTTCATTCTTCTTGGACTTTTTTCTTGCAGGCTCTTTCCAGTAGATCACATCCAGACCATTTTCTTCAAGAATGAACCCATTAAAGTTCCCATTGAATCTTTTAAATTCATTCTGGTTCACCAAAGCCAGACCTTCTCTTGACTGTGAACTTGTGTTATCTTGCTCTTCCTCCCCTTTTGCAAGAATGCATCTTCGGATGAAAAACAAGAGACACAGAAAAACCAGGACGGCAGCGGCTGCAGTAGAGACCGCTATCGTTACAATGGCGGCTTTCTTGGACGTCGGCTTAAACTGCGGCTGCACGGCTTCTTGTGGTGGCGGCGGCGGCGTTGGCGGCGGCGGCAGTGGCGGTGGCCGCCGAGATATGATTGACAGGTTGTCTGAAGTATTATTATTGATGGTTGGGAGATGGAATGGCAATGGAAAAGGATAGGAAGTTTCGATATTCTGGGGGAAAACGGAGTTAGAGCAACAAAGAGGAATGATATAAATGAAGTAAAGAATGGAGCTGTGAAGAAATGGCCATGGCCGAAGCATGGCAGCCATGGCGGTTTTGGAAGAATTGGAGAGAGAGAGAACCGAGACTGAAATTGTGTTATAGTTTTGTTAATTACAGAGCTCTAAGGGGCCCAAGTTCTTGGGTGAAGAGGATTTGGTTGCTGAGTCCCACTCCCACAGGTCAAACCTCTTGAAATTAAAGATAGAGGAGCAGTTATCCAACTTTAGGAAATGGAAATGAGTTCGTGGGGGGTTCTTTTTAAGTCAATTATAAAATAGTAAAAATGTTCTTAATAATTATCAATAAATATTCAATGATTGTTTAGAATATGCTATTCATTCAAAGTTAACAAACTGTCGAATTTCGAGGGAGCGAGAATAGCTTAGTGGTAATTGATATATAGTTTGAATTTTCAAATATGACACCTTTTCTTCTTAATACAATGTAAAAAAATATATATATTATACAATATGTGGGATGGGTTGAGGAAATTTGAACTCACGATCTTCTAATCAGACATAAGTGCTTCAATTCATTGAACTCTCGATGTTCTAATCAGACATAAGTACTTTAGAGAGGATAATAAGTGTATTTCATTGAGTTTAGTGGTGGATCCAAAATTTTAAACTAGGGGCACAAATGCATATTAACATAATGGAAAAATATCAATTTTAAACTTGAACCTTGGTAATTCGTATGAATTTGCACCTTACGAAATGTTGTAATTTTTTGCAGTTATTTAATAGTAGCTTTTGCCTATTAATCCAACTTAATTTGAAAAACTTGATTTTTATTAAATTAGTGAGTTTTTTAGATTCTTTTATTGGACAGAGGGATAAAAATTACGACGTGTATATAAATTTAGAATTATGAATTTAAATTTATTAAAAAAACTTAATTAGGCATAAAAGTTAAAATTATTTATTTTAAATGACAAATAAATTTTTCTAAAAAACAATATTTAAAAATCAAAATAGGTTTGATATTTAATCACATCGCAATAAAAATATATTAAAAAAAGATGTGTCAAGGCTCGGGGCACGAAGCACATGGAAGGGAAAACCACCTAGCCAAAAAAAATATTTTGTTTATTATGTAACGATATTAAATTTAAGTTAAATTCAAGGACTACGTGTCTTTCAGTCCCAAGTAGATCCTCCCTCGATCGAGTTATATCTATGTTAATAAATAATAGGAGTCATATAATATGTGTCAATTAGATCACACCCAGTTTTAATTAGCTTATTAACATCCTCCTACTTTGAGAGTAAGTCATTGGACTCAATGGATCATTAAAATCCTACATATCATGACACAACATCCTCAATCTTTGTAATCTACGATTGCATCACCAATTCTGTGGACTCAAATTTTTTTGCATTTAACCAATATCTTGATAAATGTCAATCAACATGGTGAGGTGATCATTGAATTTTCAGCTTCTCGGGCGTCATATACCTATTTAATCTTTAGAGTCACTTTAACACACACAACAATAGTATTAGTTGAATTTATCAAAAAAGAAAAAGAAAAAAAAAAGAAAAGCAATAGTATTGGTCGAAGGCTCAAAATATCTCTCTCTTTTCAAGTTGTAAAATGTTGATTACTAAAAACAAATGTTGCTAAGGGTTTGAATTTAAAACCTACTCTCCAAATACAATGTTTAATTAACATCTAACCAAATTACATATGCTAGTAGGTTTAGGTAAGTTTAGAATTTCCAAAGTATTTTTTAAAATATATTTGTGAAAGAAATTTATATATGTAATTATAATATTATATCTTATTAGGGCAGTTAATAATAATTAAAGAAACAAAAAGTTTAATAATTTTTTAAAAATCATTCTATATCATTGTTTATCCTATAAATATAATAATATTTAATAGGAGTCCTTTTTTTCCCACTATCTATCGAAAAACACACGAAATAAAAAGAATAAATATGGTTTCCTCAGTTAATCATTCAACCACATTACAATCCTATATCAGAATAACTCAAATCCAAACTAAAACAAGGATAACAATCTCAACTATCATCCTTTTTCCAAACTGATGGTACAAAATAAGGCTAATAACATCAATTTTTTTTTTGTTTTATATCCATGTATCCGGACCAGCTTGCGCGCACCTCGACTATTCACGAGTCAACCGTCTGGCCTTACTACATTTGGTTTGTAAGGAATAATAACATCAATTTATCACAAACATATTAAGGTAATCAATGAACAATTTACTCCTCTTGCTAGAAACATAACGAAGAGTAATATATTTTGCCAGCAATCTTTTCACGAACAAACAGAAAGATCACCAATAAATTAGCGCATCTAAAATTTTTTAATAAGAATACAAGCAAGTGCATGATATACAGTGGCCAACGTAAGCAACATTTTAGCCTACCAATAATAGATTTAAAATCTATATAAAACGAACCAAAGTTAAAAGCATGTAAAAATAACTGCAAAGCTCCCACTCGACTCTAAGTATCATAAATAGGTGTATTATATAACAGCTTATTCAAGAGCAATGGTACAAAACTCCTCATTCAAGCTACAATGAACTAAATTCATTGTTTAACTTAAACATCAAACCGTGTTCCCTTAACTCGTAGTTTGTATTTATGTAAAAACAAATTTATATTCAATCAATTTGTTGTTGAATTCATAGCATTGCATTGTCTAAATCTAATAAACTAAACATCCAATGTTATTATCATGTAATCAGGACAGCATATATACTGGGTATATATTTGATATACCCTCGATATACAAGTGGATAATGTCTCGGGAATCACCTAAAGGGTCTATAGTATATGGATAAGGCTGGGTACCTTATCCTGGCAACACTATGGATACGGTCCACTTTGTAAATGTTACAGACGACCCGATCCAAGTCGTTCGTGTGGAGACATGCGAGTGGGGATATCCTATACAATGAATTGGTATAAAACTAGACCACGAAATAGCCGATCTTCAGATGTAACGTTGCTGACTAATAAATTATTATTTCATAGGATGACCAGGTAACTCATTCTCAATCTTGAGTGAGTTATGGACTCCTGCCCGTTAGAGCTCGTCCTTTGATCTGTATGGGTGAGAGTGGCCTGAGTCGCCGACTCAATATTCCTACCATTTGGGGACGATACCGAGTGGGGAGCTGGAAACATAACTTCACGAGATGGAATTCACTCCTCCCCGACTCTTGGGGAGTAGATGAGTGTTCTCTTAAATGTTGACTCCGGGACTTGAACAAGGGGCTCCACCCTCTCACTGGCCCGAGATGGACTTTCGGTTATTGGTTGGACCATAACCGGATTGTTCATTAGAGGAGCAGTGGTATTTAAGGAACAAGATGTAACTCAGGAGTAAAACGGTAATTCGACCTAGCTTGAGTTACGAGCACTCGTGAATGATTGACTTGCCATTAATGGTCATATATCCACGGACACGAAAACATTCTGTAGTAAGAAGAGTGCAACTGTGGGTTTTCAGTGGAATGACCCGTAGCTAACGAATGTTGATTAACTCGATTAATGAGTTTGACCGATTAATCTCGTATCGTTGGAGCTTCTGATATGTAAGTCCATTAGGTCCCCTTGCTAGCTCACAACAGGTAAAACGAGGATTAAGTTTTTTGAAAATTTTGAAATGTTCAAATTTCTCAAGAGATTATATATATGTATATTGATACATTATAATATATAGTTAATTCTAAATTAAAGCTATATATTATGAGAGGATTTTTTGAATGAGATTCAAATAAAATTTCTATGAATATGATTCATATTAAAACTATAGGTTAAAAATAATGTGCATAAGATATACATTACAACTAAATGTTATACAAGAGAAATGCTTTTAGAATATGATTCTATTTTGATAATAAATAATTAAGTGTTAATTATTTATTTAGTTAATATATATATATATATATAATTAATTATTAATTAGATTAATAATTAATTAATAAGATTAATTTATTGGTTATATATATATATATTAATTATTATAATTATTAATATTATTATATTATTATAATATTAATATTAAAACACTCCCCTGCAATTTTGCAGAGGAGTGGGGAAGTTTAATGACGTGGGGTAATTCCCCACGTCATGTTGGTTGGTTTTGGATTGCAGAACTGTTCCAGAACAAAGATCCATGTTTTCGCTGCGCGATTAACATTCTTTCAATTGGTATTAGAGCGGTGTTTACGTTCTGAATTTTTGGAATCAGAATCACACAAAATGGTGGGTATTTCTTCATTTTCAAAATGTAGGTTTTGCGGGTTGGATGTTTTCGGATTTTGGTATTTAGGTAGCATCGTTCTTCTTGATTTGATCATGTAAGGGCCCGATGCTTGGGGATTATGTTTCTATATCGAGTCTGTAAGTCCGGGTCGCTCGAAAGCTATTTGTGGCGTCGGATTGGACGAAGTTTTGTAGAAAACAATTAAGAAGACGAAGCAGTCCGCGTAGGAAGCGCCATGGCGCTATGCAGTAGTACCATGGCGCTGTTGAAGAACAGCACACAGCGCCGCGGTGCTGCACTTTAGCACTGTGGCACTATCCCAAGTGTTTTCTGACGTGGTTCCCATGTCCCAGTTTGCGGTTCGAGTGCTGTTTCGAGTGTTTTCTTCAGTTTTTTTATTTTGTTTTCTTAGGATGCCAAAATTCAGTCCAACTTTGCTATTTAATTATTTATGCATTTTGAATGTATATTTTAATTAAATGTAAATTGTATAATGTATGCCATATAATTTTAAAATCTCACCATATGATACATACATAATATATATATTTGATATGCATCATATATGTATAATCATGCATCATATATGTATAATCATGCATCATATAGTTATAAATGTTATATGTACGAATGTTTGTTTTATTTTCATGAATAATTAATATAAGTGTTGTATTAATTAGATAAAGTTGCATTGAGCATGACATTACTTTAGTTAATATAATTGTTATATTAATGTGTGTCGTCAATGCATGTTTACAGGTTTAATTTCTTAAATTTTATAAGAGTGATAAAATTTGGTATATAGAAATTAAAATCTATAATAAAGAATTGCATGCAAACATAAGGTCTAAGTT